GCGGGTTCTGCTCGGGCACCAGCACAACGACCCGCAAATAGAAAAACTGCAAATCTGAAATTTGTCATAGGGTTTCACAAACAAGTTGAAATTCAAATGACATAAACAGTTTGCGCGTAAATAAAAGCGAAGTTCAGTACACAAAAGAGGGCATGCAAAGGTTTGCGCCCATGTCCGGCATCATCTTGAGGGTCGATCGTCACTCCGCGCCATGGAGTCCATCTTGAAGTTCATCGGCGCCACTGTAGCCACCTCTGTTGCTTGTTCCAACTCCCGCACCGAAATCATCCACATTGCCATCATATGGAGCAGAGAAAACATCACCAGAACTGACACATGGACCGGCCGAGGCGACCATTCTCCTCTTCAAGATCTCTCTCCTTGCCATATCATGACATGTTTTGGTGACGTCGTCCATGTCATTGCGGTTCATTGACATGATCTTGTTCTCTTCGGCGAGCAACAACGACACCGCTTTGTTTTCAGAGGCGCGTGCTTTTCTCTCCTCAATGGCAGCTTTGCGCAGCCCCTCTTCCTTAAGCATTTGCCATTTTTCTTGCTTCTCTTTTGCCTTCTTCTCAGTCAACTCTTTCTTGATCTCCAACGACTTCAACAACATCAACTCGTTTGATTGCACCATGGCATCAATCTTCTCCCTCAAGCTCGATGCTTCTTGCTCTCTCTTCATCTTCTCTTAGTCTTCTTGTCGTCATCGGGCTTGTGCAAATTTCTTTGGCCATCATCATCCTCATCTTCATCCATGTTTGTAAGTGAGCCTCTCTTTGGTGGGGATTCTTTGTCGATCAACTTCCACTTCTCGCACTTTTGGAGCAACTCCCAACAATGCTCTAATTTGAAGAATCTGCATTCCGAAGCTTCCATGTCCTTGTATCTATGTTGAGCAATTTTGTCCTACACAATGTGAACAAAGTAATGCAATCATTTCTCATGATACATTATGATGATGCACAACTTGAACAAAGGCAAAGCAAACTCACATAGTCGGACTCCACGGTGCCACTTGAAAGTGCATTGCGTACTTGCTCCAAGCAAGCTGCCCAACGGCTGCACATAGGCTTGATGTTCTCCCAACGACCTTGAAGTGACCGAAATGTGCGTGGAGTCCTACCGGGGTTGTTTTTCATAGTGCGGAAGTATTGATCTTCGATCCATTGCCAATATCTCTTGGCGGTTTGAGAAGTACCCGTGCATGCATCAAGAGACACCGCACTCCATGCTTTGATCAAAGCTTGATCTTCCAAGATCGTGTAGTTCTTCGATCTTTGGCTTTTCCCAGTTTTTGCTTGTGATTGCTCAAACGCTTCCGCTTCGATCTCCTCCAACTCGTCCGCAAAACCATGATCGTCCACGCTGCCCTCCGTTTCATTGTAGTCGAATGGTTCGAAAGGGGCTTGATCAATGTCAACCGCGTTCGTGTCCAACAAGTTCACGAACTCGGTTGTTGCATTCTTTGAACCACCGCTATAGCGAACGATAACAAGTCAAGAGCTATCGAGAACAATGGCGAAAAATGAAAGAGAATCGCCGAAGACCGAAGTGATATACCTTCCGGCCATTTTGTCGAACACCTCGCTCGCGGGGGGAGCGGCACCGTTGAACGACATCGCCAGAGCACCTCCTTGCGGGGGGATGGAGTGAGAGGTTGAAGAAGATGGCTTCTTTGAAGCCGGAACCTTCCTCGCTTTGCGCCCGCGGCCTTGCCGGCCTTCTCCGCCGCCGGCCGGGATCGCACTGCGGCATTGGCGCCCAGAGCGCGGGGCATCGCGGCGGGGGCAGCCGGATTCCCGCCCTGCACAACCATGTTGCCCTGCCGCTTGCGGGCAGGCGCGGCGTGTGCTTGGGCGACGGCGGCGGGGCCAACATGGCCGGCGACGAGATCCGCACGAGGGGAAGGGGCGTGCACGACCTCGACGGTGACTGGGGACAACATGGGGTCGTCCATGCCGGCGAGGGACGTCACGGGAGGAGCAGCCAGAGCTTGCGGAGGGGGGGCAATGGCGGCGGAGGGTGCGGGGAGTGGGAAAGGACACGTGGAAATGTTCCTCCCGCCAAATCTCTCGCCAGATATGGGTTGAGCTCGGGTCGGCCTCCCAGCCTGTTTTGATAGAGGTTGGGGGAGAAGATTTGCCGCGCCCCGCAAAAAAATTTGCGGGCCGGTGCGGGATGCGGGGTTTGATCGTGCAGATTTTCTGGCCCCGACCCACAATTTGACGGTTATTTTGCGGGCCAGGGTGTTTTGCGGGGTCTGCTAGAGTTGCTCTTACTCGTTACTTCAAAATTGCGTATACGTGGGTTCTCGTCAGTGGGTGAGCAGACATTTGCATGCGTCACTGGTAATCTGGCCCTGTGGCGGGCGGAAATATCAGCCGCTACTAGTTTTTTCTAGGCTATTTGCCACTACTGGTTTTTTCTAGACTATCGGCCGCTATTGGTTCTAACATACTAGTTTTTTTTTTTGAGAAATCTCGCTCGCTTTATCGATTCAAAACAATGTTCATAGGTACACGGTGTGTGTCATGAGGAGAACCCAACCAAATATGCCTACAATATCTAAATTACAAGCGAATTTAGCGAGATTATGAGCCTCGAAGTTATCGTTTCTTCGCTCAAAAACAAAAGAGCATGAAGATAAACTAGCTCTACGTTCTATTATTTCATGTATCACAACCGCATTGGGACCTCATGTGCCTTCATTGATATCTTGCACCACACCTTGGCAATCTGAGGCTACCATTATATTATGCTCGTTGAGGTCCTCCGCCAAAGACAAGGGTTCTCGGCAGGCGTATGTTTCCAAAATCATAGGGTCTCTAATTCCTTTAAAGACAACCGCTGATGAGCCCAGAAAATTACCATTCGAATCTCGGCAGACTGCAGCAGCCACTCCCACTCGTTTATTCCTTGCTAGTGCACCATCCACATTGATTTTACCAAAACCGGCTGGAGATGGGTTCCAACGGTGTTGTTACCCCGATGCATCAAAGACCTGCACTTTCTGTTTAGACGATGGAATTTGTTGTAGCTCCTGAAGATAAGAGTCTACAAAAGATACCGTTTGGTGTGGGTTTTAGAACAGAGATTCGTAAATTGCCTTTCGCCGAGCGTACCAAACAGCCCACAAAGTGACAACCATTCTTGTGAAGCTCACATGATCTAATGTCTCATGAAGTTCAAACAACCAGCTCTTTGCATTAGCTTCCTCGTTTCCCGTCCGCGAAACAAGGGACTCATCCACCAAGGCCCAAACGCACCTCGACATAGTGCATGACAATAGAGCATGTCTCCACGAGTCTTGGCATCCACACAACGGACAAGCACTTTGAGTGGCCATATTCCGCCTATGTAGGACATCCGTGGTTGGTATAGAGTGACGAGCGAGACGCCATAGAAAAACTCTGACCTTTGATGGGACTTTCAACTGCCATAGACGGCTCCAAGCTTCCTCTTCTCTCGCATTAGATGATGAATCAGCCCTTCCACCTAGCCAAGCTTCTATTTGGACTTTTGTTGTTACTAGAAGCTTGTACGCCGAACTTACTGTAAACCTACCCTTCATGTCCGGGTTCCAAGCCCAAAAGTCCTCAGTATTTCGAGTACACACTGGGATCTTTAGAATCGCTTCAGCATCAAAGGGTAAGAAAACCAACTGCACTAACGATTCATTCCATGATGCAAGGGCCGGAGATAGAAGATCGGATACCATTCTGGGGCATGTCGCCACTAGCGATGCAATTGGTCTTGGAGCTGTTTATTTGGGAATCCAATTATCCTCCCAGATGCGCGTAGATAGGCCGTTACCGATCCTTCTGATTATTCCCTGTTGCATAACATCTCGCCCTTCTAAAATTGCACGCCATATTTGAGATGGGCGAGAACCTAGCTCGGCCTCAAGAATAGATGAGTTAGGGAATGAAATAAGATGCCTTCAATATTCTTGCACTTAAAGTGGCCGGTTCCTGCAGTACTCTCCACGCTTGCCTGGCCAGCAAAGCGAGATTGAACAATTCCATATCTCTGAACCCTAGGCCTCCCAAGTATTTTGGCCTCATCATCACATCCCATGAAACCCATGCTGGCTTACGCTCTCCTTGTTTACGTCCCCACCAGAACTTTCTAATGGTAGTTTTTAT